CAAAACTTGTTTATACTTCTCGATCAACAATTTAAATTAATTTGAACTTTAAGCTGACCAATGAAGCTTCAAAAATAATGCATAGCAAAAAGTAACTCGGCTTACGATGTGATAATTAACAGTACTTTTAACCAATTACGTTTAACCTTGTATAGATCACGCTTTCGCAAAATATACGTGTAATTTATTTACATACGTGATCTTGACATTTAATCGTTTAAAGATCTTTATATTTCACTTAGCTTAAAAATTTAGCAATTTCGCATGGACACAAATATAAGATTGAATTTAGTTAAATTTACCATTTTTTTCTGATCATGATGTAAATACGCACACATATTTAAATACATAATACTAATAGCAAATTTTTTGTAGATTGTCTTTGTTAGTACTTCGGTGTAATCCGTTATGGCCATATTTTTAATTAAAAAATTGTCAATTTGTATTTAAAGCTGTGCATTATCTATAAACTGTTACATTAATAAAATAATCTCATAAAAAATTAATATATACTATTTATATTGAAGAAGTGTTTGTTTCTGAAACTGCATAACCTAATCCTAATGGAGTAAGAAGTCGCTACTCGCGTCTTCTATCTCGTGATCCGCGTAATTAATTTCCTACGCCTGGACCTATCAATTGCGCTAAGTTACGTTTCTTCTAAAAAGAGTTTCCTTAACGTCGCCAACGCACTTGTATGAATTCTTTACCCAACATGCTCTTTTGTTTTATAAATTTCAGTCAAGTAAACAGATGTTCGACCATGACTAGTATTATTCTAGAACTATCCAGAACATTCCTATGATAAGATATTTTTGCGGTTTATAAAAACTCTTAGAGCTAGTTCAGACATGGCGGAATCCGTGCGGATGCAAATCGCGCGGTTAGACCGCGCGGATCTTATTTACATTAGCGCCTATAAATTCGTTCATACCTGTCCGCGCGGATTGACAAACCGCGCGGCTACCGCCACTCAACCGCTAGAAAATGAATTCGCGCGGTTGCCGCTCGATCTATTTACTTGACGTACCTAGAGCGCGTTCAGTTGCTCTGCGGAAGCCGCGCGTATCGGACGGTGACAATGGATCGCTTCGACACCGAGCTATTCATCGATGAGGTGGAAAAGAGACCTGCTTTGTGGGACATCCAATGTGCAGAATATTCCAATAAAATTATTAGAAACGGAGCTTTCTTTTTTACGGAGCAACAAGTACACACATATTGCTTCTTCGACTTCCATGATTGGACTAGAACGCTGTCACTCTATGCGGATTACGGCACTCCGCATTTACATCCGCGTCTGTCTGAACACTTGCGTTTAGAACCGCGCGATTTGCATCCGCACGGATTCCGCCATGTCTGAACTAGCTCTTAACCTTCACACTTCAACCTTAACACCGTTGTTAATTTAAGCGACAATCACTTCGAGTTCATTGATGCGGGCGATAAATTTTTACGGTTTAACGCTGTAATTAAATATAAAGATTAAGTTTGTTGTGGTTAAAATTAAATCTACAAAAAAGGAATATTCTTTTAAAGTCCAAAAGTATTTAATTTCTATTTATATGTACGCATACTTCATTAGCCATACAGTATCAGTGGTTCTACCTTTGTCCTACTTACCTTAGCATTATTTGTAATAATAATAATTAATAATAATTTATTTATTACAAGAATATGGTACAAAATGTTAAGCGATGGCGCGCAAATTTGTCTTAAGGTAATTTTAGTTATTATATTGTATTTCATTGTACTGTAGTATTGTGTACATAAAGATTCTCATTCACATGTCCCGTACGAAGCTTAGACATTGGGACTTTTCTATAAAAGCAATACCGACTTCCAATTGAATCAATAACAAAATATCAACATTATAACAAAACCACTCAATTTTGTTCTTTACTGCGGTACCTTTGGTGAAAAAAAATTTGATTCTGATCCCGACGTTAAAATTGCGTTTGAACAACGCAATCATATTAGCTTTATAAGCTAAACAACATAAAACAAGCTAATCGCTCAAACATAAATTAAACCCTTAAAATTTCACATCACAAAATTGCCAGTTAAATTTGCGTATAACAAGAATTACTACCCATTTCTACTCTGAGTATTAGAAAATACATAGCTATACAATTTTCTGTATAGCGCAAAACATAATATTTAACAAGTACGCCCGATTGCTATGTAAACATTTCGTTATTTATCTTATCTGAGTTCTAAACGCAGCACTTGTAATTTTAAATTATTTACTAAAGAGGAGTGTATTGTTGAATTTCAAGTGTCTCTTAATCCTAAAAACTATTATATATTTAAACTAATATTAAAAATATTAATTAATAAGCAATATGTGTTTGAGATAGTCACACATAAAGATTATTTATTTATGGTAGACAAACACGACAAAATCTTGACGCTTAGAAAATAATAATAGTCTTTCCATTTGTGATGACTTTTCTTTTTCTTAAAAGAGATCGCTTATATGTCCGCTTGTTGTGTATAAAATAAACGAGTAACCTGCTGCTGTTTCAATATTATACTTTTAATATCTTTTAAAGTATTAAACTTAATTTATATATCGGGGCCTTGAAGTCCAATTTATATAGCTAAAGCATCAAAGAAACATACAATGCCCAAAACACAATCAAACTCTAGTGGGACACAAGTCAACATTTCTATTCACGTGTCTCACGGATAATTTTTTTGCTACTACCGACTAATACCGACTAATAATAATTTTTAATTTAACTTGAAGCTAATTACTAGTTAACCAACGATTAATTTATTGGATATTATACAGCCCAGCTCAGGTGATATTGACCAAGCAATAAATGCACGCATAATGTTCACTTCAAACACGATCATTAATCTACAACGCTTCTGTATTTTGTCAATTAGCCTCACTCAATACGACCGATTATCTGGTGTATGCGGGTAGGTGTTTTTAACATATGGGACATTGATAGCGGGACCGAATGAAATTAATTTACAAACAAATAAATACATTTCGTTAAAATTATTTTCGAGATGACATTTAAGTTTTAAAATGATCATCTTTCTATTTTTCATAAAATACAATAAAATCATCCTTATCTTAGGACGAGCCGTGGTATTTCTATATCATAAATTTCTACTTCCAATTAAAATTCCAAGTAAATCTTTTGCAAAATACAGCCTTAATTCTCCTTAATTACCTCGTTACTTGTTAGCAATATTAGGATGAAACTCAAATAGAATTCGTGTACATACAAATAATAATGTCGAAGTTATTAAGGTTGCTTTAAAAGTTGTTTTTGTTGAGAGGGAATAGGTATTTATATTTTTTATAAGTATTTGTAGTACTGTTTAGCAACTACCTAATGAAATCATGTTTTAAATCCGAATCTAATAAAGAGTCACCTTACTGCGGTCTAGTATGGCTTTCCTTTAAGCGAATTCGTTTACTGTAAAGAAGACAAACTCATTCTCATATCATTAAACTTATTATCTATTACTTGTTGTTAGGATATATCAGATATAGGTATCTTGCCCAGCCCATAGCGAAGACGCCTTAATTGAATACGGTTATTTCGGCATACAAAGTGCGCTTTATCGATTTATTGATAAGTCCGCGAGCACAGATGATAACTGGAGTGTCACGGCACAGTAATAGATTAAAGAAGACCGCAAATTCAATGCCGATGAAATCACGTACACGCAGACAATATTTCATTAAATTATGGCCTCATCATCATTACGTTGCTTTCATTTTTAGTTTGTCGGATTGAAATATGAGAAAATCGTTTCGCACCGCCGTGAACGCGTATTTAATATTTATTATTCCTAATAAAGATGTGTCTTTGCGGGTGATATCTTTTAGATTATTGTGATTTCGTTACAAATTCTATTACCATGTACAGAATTTGTAAAGAAAGTTTGCGTGTTGTTCCCACGAGTGCTCCTATTTCACCATGCCTCCTGCTGATAGAGGACAAATCTTTGTATTTAATTTATTTTATTATTATTTATTACTTAAGATATCATGTGGAACATGGTGAAAGGGTTGCAGCTCCTTACGAACGTTGTGTTAAACAAAAAACTTGGCGATTAAAAATAGTAGCGGAGAGTTTATTGCCTGTTCTTCTCTTCCGTTCTACACCCTTGATTTGAGAAAATGTTAAATTTGGCAGTAAATGTAAAATTAGAAGCATTTAAAGTATATTTCTTTATTGACGTTCATGAGTGTACATCGTGTTACCTATATGAATAAATGATTTTTGACTTACTTGACTTGATTAAGAAGAAATAATAGAATTATATAGATGCAAGATTACATAACCGTTGAGATTTATCTATAATATCTCCATTCTTCATTTTGTAAACCATCACTGACTGAGGCCTTAAAGAATTGTTGGAAGAAATCGGAAAGTATAAAGAAACTGATCAATCAAATGTGTCTCCTCCATGCCCCAATATGGGGTTACGTGACTTTACGTCTACATTTTTTCTATAGATCAATTAATGGTAATTGTACTTTGTGACTGTTCAATGCATATACATACATATTATGTCCGTGTGAAATATATTCCTGATTAAAAACCTAACTACTAAATAAAACTAAAATTTCAATTTTTTTATATTTATTTCTTTTTTCTCTATAATATAAAAACCTTCTTCAGAGTTCAAGGAAAAACTTTAAAAAATACTCGAAACCGTCTTCGAGTTATGCGCTTAGCGACATATTCCATTTTTATTTAGAGATAGAACGTGTTTTAAAAAGTTCTACCAAAAATTACACGCCATTTTTAACAAATATTTGACAACTTAGACAAAACTCTATATCTGTCAATTTAAATATACTGTGTGAATATGCTAATTCTATTGATACTACAGTGAGTCAGGTGGCACGCGGATTGCATTTTTCGCTGCGAAAATGCTCGATAAAAATTCAAATATTTTTACATATTTATTTTGAACAAGATACAACTCACTAAAGCCTAAATTAAATATAAAAGAAATAAACCATGCTTAGCCTCTTCAGGTAAAATTTATTATTTGTAATGTTTTTTTAAAGAAAATTATATTTTTAGTTCTTGGCTTGATAATTGACCAACCAATAAATCTTAACACATGTGGTTAACCGCAAACACTATCACTAGTTTTCATCGCCATATGCGTATTGTCTCGCGTAGTTAGAAAATTACAAAACATTTAAATTTCGAATCTCTGTTTTAATAGGCTTACAAACTACCGAAATCATAGATAATAAAGTTAGTTGAAAAATACAACATATTTTTAAACACTGACAATAAATTACAGGCAATGTTTAAACAGGTGATCTTTGCGCGTTTCGTTTTTAATAGAATCAGACTGTTCATTTCTGCTATTTTAATTTATGAGTAAAGATTTAAATATTGATTGAAGTTACAATCATTAATTAGTAGTGGGCTAAACAGATATTTAATTTGAGAAGCTGACTTGAACCAATTATGGATTTCACTGTAGATTTGAATTTACATTGATAGCCGAATACCGAACACTAAACAAAAATATATTTTTACGTTTGACTTCACTTCAAAAATACTTCGCAAAATTTAGTTAATTAGTTGTTCAAGCCCCACGCGATTTAAAATAGGAACAGATCCAGGTCAAACTATATTTTAAACCAAAACTTACGTTGATCTATTTTAACGTTGCTGTGAAATAATTCAAGCATATTTTTCTTGTAATTTACTTAAACGTAACTTCGTAGGGTTTATAAATAAATCTTTGTAAACATCAATACTTACACGCTTACTTTACACTATACTAATGTGTGTAAGTATACCGCCTCTGTCTCTTAACACACTAAGATTATAGTTTGGAACTCTTAGATTCCAGGTTGAACAATTGTTAGGTGATTCTATTAAGCACATTGACTGCCTTATTTAAGAGTATCATTAGACTGATTTCGTATGAATAAGTACAGTACGGCGATACTCGATTAATGAATTGATTTAATTGTTAGTTTTCTGAAGAAACTGAAACAAAATATATGACGAAAACACGATACGGGCTGTTTTACTTATTTTTAACTCAGTTCTTCCTACACATTTATTCATCTCTTTCTGTATAATTGTGTTATTTCATGAAAAGTTAGTTCTTTTGTCAAAATAGGCTTTTGATATGTAATTTAATTGATAAGCATAATTTTAAAACACAATTAATACAAACACTAGAATTAATAGAATGTTTAAATAAAGATAAATGGAATCTAGCAAACTACCTTTTCAAGACATGGAGAACATAATACAATCATAATTCAGTGGGATCCTGACCCTTGGCCTCAGATTGTTGCTCTGAACATCATGGAATATAGTTCCAAGCAAATGATTTGCCAATTGTCGGTAATGGATGTAAGTTGTTTTAGATACTATCCCACAATATGTTATTACCTATTATGTATTAAAGATAAATATTTTATGTAATTTCTACACGGTCATTGTCGTCGAGTTATTTTAGATCGGCGAAAAAATAACCTTGCATCACCTTGAGCGTTGTCGTGTTTACGATGTGACTCTAGTACAAAAATAAATTTAACAATTTCACTGGTCTAACATCAACCAGTTTTATTATAGAGTAACAGATTTTAGAATGATGCCAACATTTTTAATCTTCATTCATCTTAAAAAGATATATGTATTGTTAATCTCGTGTCACGTTGCGGGGGTAGGCTCGAGACAGTGAGGCTGATTTTCAGATTTGTATGTATTGCTAGTAGACCGGGAGATAGTAACACAAAATTTTAGGCTGGTAAAAATCGTTTGGCAAGTAAAAAATTGCTTTTTTTTTTTAAATTAAGATTTTTTTTGTCGGTATGGCGGGCTGAAGTCACACCGGAGAAGTATGACATGACACTACCGCCCCTTATATTTTTATGGACTATTGGAAAATACTAGAAATATTGTGGAACGAATCGTTTGACACTCGTAATTAATCCGACGAATTCGACTAACGCCCACGCGTAATTAGGTGTCTATTTCACCAGGTTTTGGACCTGGGCATTTTTGAGGTCTGTCAAAACAAACACGCAATGTGCCTATCCCATTAGTCTCCAACAGTATCGTCATCATAATTTTATCAGCATCCTGTTTGATTCCAATATAGTTATTTCTAGAATGATCAAATATTAAAATATCTTTCCTGTTTCCGGAAGGCTTCTTGTGACAAACCTATTAAATATTGAAACGCTTACCCGCATGCGCCTACATTTCTCAGAAATTTATAAGTCCTGCATATAAAAAGCCAGTGCTCAAAGATGTGAATGATTTGTCGGAAATAATGTTTAAAAAGGGGAAAATATATGATTAATATTCAGATATTCGCGTATATAAGGTAAAAGTACGAATTATTTATATCAGGTTTCTTATGAGTTCTTTGAGTAATACTATTTTGTTTGTTTTATACTAATATAACATTTTAAATCAAGTCCGTTGAAAATAAAAAAACATTACACACACAATAGCTGATTATAGACATCCGCCAACTTATCTAGTTTTTTTTTTTTAATTTTGAGATTTTAAAATCCTGTCACAGTTAAGGTTTATCAGTGAAAAATACATTTAAACACTGATTCAAAGTATAGGGTATAAACAGTATAATCGGTAAGGGGGATAATATAAATTGATTACCATTACATCCCTTTATGGGTCTTGGCGAGAGATCGCATTTGTTTGTTTAATCATATTTCTTGTCTAGACAAGTAGGTGCAGCCTTCAGTGCTTGACACGCGTCGTCGTTTTGCTACATAACTGTCCGAACCAATTCGACTTAGGGTCCTTCAAGAAAAGAGCGTACCAATTCTTAAAAGGCCGACAATGGACTTGCGAGCCTTCTGGCACTGTGAGTGTCGGCGGCGGCGGTATCACTTAACATCAGATAAGCTTTCCCGTTTGCCCCCTTTTATATAAAAAAAGAGGCTGATAGATAAAAAATAAATTTGTTTCGGATGTTAATTATTATAGACTATGTAAGACAATTGTCTTATTTAATTTTAACAATACTAACCCAGTACCTAATTACATAAAATGAGAACGTTATAAGCAGCTTATTACCTCAATATATGATGATATTAAATAAATTACATCATATAAACATGGCCACGTTTATGGCCTTTCAAACATATTGAAGGGCGCTATATTTCATGTAAACGCTTTGAAACTGAAGTATGTGTACGCTCGGGCGAAAGTTGTCAACTAGCATTAATTAGCCCAGCCCGTGCCAATAGTCATTAATTTAAATCGATTGTCATTTGTATTACAAGATGTTATGTTGTGTCAAAAATAGTAATTATAACATACTTTTCTATTGTTTTTTCTACATAACTTGTTTAATTAACATGCGCTCTCTATATACGGTATTTGCAGTAGTATCTGGAGGAATGTCATACGAGCATTACTACTACTTACTAAATGATCTTCGCAAATGTAACATTGAAGTATAATAATATTCTTGTTTTTTTATTAATTCGGGCACAAATTTAACGCTTAAATAGATAAACAACACTTGTTCATATCAAAGTCGCTCACAAAGCTTTGGCGCAGCGCCAAAGTCGACACTCAAGCGAAAAGCGGCTATAGAAAGCCAATGACGTTGAGAGCAGACTTTAACAAAAATGTTGAAAATTACTTGACAATATTTATCAATATTTACTGAACTCGTTTCATTATAGCCGACTTTAGTTAGAACCAATCTTTTGCAAACAAATTTATCTGTTTACCATAGTTGTACCATAATCTAATCAAACACGTTCTCCATTTCAGACACTCGGTGGACTCGGTCGCGTCGTATTCTAGCCAGAATCACGTTGACCGAATAAGGACTCAGAATTTCTCAGCGGCTTCTTGTCAAGACGATAGCGACTTCGGATCGATAAAGACAAGCCTCTTTAGAAGATCGTCTTCCAATTTAGAATATCCGATTAAACGCCCCGACAGCGCCACTTCAAATACAAGCTCCACAAGAAGCCGTCTTCGAGAACTTGTAGAAAGGAAATCGAGTCAGGACGAACACAAATCCGCTGCAAATACAGTCGCTGACATACAATACTTTGAGAATCCCACGGAAACTCTTGAATTTGATAGCCCACGAAACTCGCTAGAGTCGAAGAAAAAGAACGACGAAAGGCCAAAGAAAAGGAGGTTATCTAAATGTAAAGAGAGCGATAAAAATAAAAAACAGGAAAAGTATCAGAGTAAATTGGCCGATTACTATAAGTTACCAGTCCAATTACCTCAAGACGAGTTTTATCAGCACTTGACCCGGTCAAAAGCGGCTGAGGAGTTTTTACACAAGCATTTATCGAATTCCGACACAGAGTTTAGCGGTAGCTACGGCAGATTGTGCAAACATAGAGATCTTGAGGGCTCTAATTTACGTCGCAGTAGAAGTTTAGCTGTCATTAGGGAAGAAACGTTTACGGACCTCCAAATTCAGAATCACGTTAAGAATAAAAGATCTCAGCTAATTCCTCGCGCCCGATTATTTGATAAACCTTGCTTCAAAGACAGGTAAGACATAATAAAGCAATTTATGAGTATAATAAAGTTTTTTAAATAAAATAAGTTTCATACAAAATGTGACCCGGGGTTTATTCCAAAAAATAAATTAAAATAAGCTTTTTTAAAAACGTTGATTTTATCATTCTTTTACACAATAAATTCGGAAAAAAAATATACTAATGCTTGTCTCTTAATTTTCAGATTATCTGGTCGAGCAAAATATCACACTAAGGAAGAGGTATTAGAAGGGATATACATCGATAGCACTGTATCGTGTTTTGCTGATATTAATCGACAACAACAGGAAGAGCCAACTAGTCTTCCAAAGACTAATGATAACCATTCTCAAAAAGAAAACTCACCGTGTAATGAAAGCATTCGTTCTAAATCAGCGAATGGTAGCTGGGCAAACCTAACTGAAGATACAAAACAAATTAATCTTTCAGAAGATAGCATTGGCCACTCTCGAAATCCAAGCGAAATCGACAGCTTAGATTCAAATTACGTCAGAAAACACTACAACTTTGAGGCGCACCGGAAGAGCTATAAAGAAGGATCTCCTGATACCGAAGGTTCTTTGGTTTCCCCATCTTGTAAAGATCTCTACATAGCAACTGATGAACACGATAGTGGTCCTGAGTATAGAGCAAACTCAAAGACACCTAATCTATTAACTGAAGCACAAATATCAACTTCACACAATAATAAAGAAATAGAAAATTGCAACGTTGACGACCACGTTACGTACGACATTATATCTATTAAGAGTAAAACGGGCGAAATAAGTGACAATCACGCCGATGTTTATATAAACATAAGCGAAGATAAAAATGAAGAGACCCAATCAATAATTTCAGAAAACGACGGCACCGTATCAAGCCCACCAGATAGCATTACGTCGTATATATCGATATCTATAGAGTCGTCTACGGATAAATCACACAAGTTAGAATACTTGACTCACTCTTTAGCCGAAAAAATCGATGAGTATTGTGATTCTCAATACCAAGACCATATTTCTCAGAAATCACGAACGGTGGACGCCGAAAGTCAACGGCCAGATAGCGATCCCATTTATACAGCTGTTCAGAAGAAGAAAACATTCGCTGACATAAGAAAAGAATCATTTGCAAAAACACAAAAACCATCTCTTGAAAATAATAACAACAACAATTCTACTGAAATCTACGTAAGCCGAACCTATATTGATACAGAAACATACGATAAAAAACAGGTATCTGCATCAAAAAATATTACAACAGAACCATTTGTTACAACTTTATTAGAAAATCAATACTATTCATTACCGGATATTAATATAAGTAAATGTCTAAGAAAATCTGAAAGAATAGATGCCCAATTAAGAGAGGAAGACCCAGAAGACAACACATGTGAAAATACATATGAAGTGGCCCAAACTCATTTCCAACAAATACTAAACTGCAAAAATAGTGAAAACTACGGGCAATTAAATAAAACTCTTGCAGCACCACTGAACAAAAATAATTCTCACAGTACTAGCATTTATTTGCCAGAGTACACGGAGCCTCAAATCTTACAAAATTGTACAAAACTTGAAGACGACTTAAAGTCAATAATCACTATAACAAGTTCTAATCCCGATGACTTCTATACAGACAACCAACAAAACGAAAGAGAAATAAACGAAATCGAAGGTACTATAAGGAATACTAAGTTAATATCGAAAAGTGAAAGCTTAAAACTCTCCTCAAACACTGCATGTAGACCAGAAGTTAAGATATTAAAATCTTATTCTAACGATAATATTCATAACGGCAGGCCAAAAGGAAAAACCAACATCAAAAAACATTATTCTCTGAGGCAGCGAGATCCTGTTGATACAGTAAATATACCAAGCCCGGAAGCTGTTGTCAAAAGCTTACAAAACACACAAAGGGTATTTTCAAAGCCTTCATTTGCCGAAGAGCTACGTAATCACTCCCTAATATCAAGAGTGCAATCTTTTAAATCATCGAAAGACTCAAATATTGACATCATACCTTTAAGTGGTCACCAAACTCTTATAATTGATCCTCCTTTGCAACAAAACGCCGACGCAAAAGAAGACAATAAATCTCCAAAGCATTTAGAGGGTGAATTTAGCACTAAAGCTGAAAGCTTAGTTAAACCGATTTGCGTTAAAGAAACCCAAAATACAATCAAAGAAAGTGAGCTAGTGTATAAAGAACCAGACAATATTAATTTAAGAGATTCATTTATAACAATAAAATTAAACAAAGTAGTAAAGAAAAACTTACAAAAACTTAAATCTGACACATGTGATTTAAATTCACTATCGTCAAAAAATAAACCCCCCTCAAAACTTATAATAAAAGATCATAAAAATTATTCCCTTACTCGAAAATTTGATACCAATAAAACGATGAGTCGCCCACAAATACTGCAAGTAGTTGATTCAAAAAATACAAAAATAAAAGATCAGATGCAATCACAATCAACGTCATGTGAAAGATTAGATCACAAACCAAATTCAGGCACAAAATGTATTGACAACCAGGATACAATGGATTCTACAAAGGTGGTAAAAGGTGAGACCCAAGTAAAAGAAAGATTGGATGACGCTATTAAAACAGACATTGAATACCAGGAAAAAATTAATTCAGTCAAAAGTTATTGGTCGAAATTAATAGACAAAACTCCAGTAGACAACTTAAATAAACCTGAAAGAGAAGAATATATAAATAATGAACCAAATAATGATGTTGAAGACACAAAGCAACAGGATACAACAGAATATGACAATGTTGTACCAGAAATTTCGGTTGGAAAAATAATACAATCATTAGAAAATGTTAAAATTGTTGACAGTATAAAAAAAATAAGTCAAACAAAGTTACAGCTATGGAAAGATGATACGGAGAAAGTTAAAAGTGATTCAGAAATAGAAGAACCACCAGTTGAGAAAATTGTAAAAGACAATAATTCTCAGCAATTTTATCCAATACCAAAATCAGAACAAAATAATACAAAGAGCGATTTGAGCTCCTATCGCAATACTCCAGAAATCGAAATTGTGGAATTAAGTAGTGAGGATAATCTAAACGAAAAGACACAGGCTACTTTAATAAAAGCTAAAGGATACGAGAAAGGTTGTGACGATTTCGACCATGTTCGTTATAAGGTAATGAAATCTGAACTATTTAAAAATAGTATGATAGCAAATTACAAAAAAGAGGCGCAGTTTGATGGCTTACTTCAGTACTTACAGGACTATAGTTTTCAAGAGTTATTGACCAATAATAATATTGTTATAATTGAACCAGTGCGAACCAAAGTAGAACCAACTCCTCGTAAAGAAAGAAATATTGATACATGTAAAATACACGCCTCATACTTAAAGAAAAGTGACGGTTCATTGCAGGCGGAAAAGTCCAAAAATGCAGTGAGAAGACACTTTTTTTATCACCCTATTAGGGTAAATAAAGAAATTATCGAAGAAGAATTACCTAATCCTGATACTGTAAAAAAAGTAAGGAATCTATTCGAAGATACATTAAAGATGAAAAGTCCGATGACCCATGACCCACCATTGGTAGATGAGAACATTGGACTGACGCGGCGTTCAACGTCGTATAGAAACTTAAGTGAAGAAATAAAGACGAATAAAAACGTAGGTAGAAAGAAAGTTATACGTCAATTAACCATAGACACTAATTTAGGTCATAAAAAATGGGATAATGCGAGTCTTTCAAGTGGAGTATCTAGCGGCGATTTGAGCTCAAATAATGATTACGATGCTGAAGCACTTAGCCCTTATTCAAATAAAAATATAAAGGACAATATATACAGTTCTAGCGACGAATATTTGTGCGATTCTGCTACCCAAGATTTTTGCTGTGAGAGCCAGTATGTTAGTCCAGACATTCTCAAAAAAATTCGCGAATGTGGGACTTCAGTAACGTACTATGGTGGTAAAGTATTGAATTCTAAGACTGGTTCAAACGTAAGCCCGATGACAAAAGCAATTATGGACGAGATAAAGAGTTTACAACGAAATTGTAGCGCGGATTGTTATTCGTGTCAAACAAAATGTAAAGGAGATAAATGTGCATGCTTAGTTGCAGATAAACACAAGCAAATACCAGAAAAACCGATATCCCAGGCGGCAGATAATAAAAATGTCATATGTCAAGAACAGCCAACACCCACAGACACTTTTCCAGGTTTTAAATTCAAACTGGTTAAATCTAATAGCTGTAGCAGCCGATTAGAACTAACCGGCACCGAAGAAAGCAAAAACTTAAGATTTCGATTTAGAAAACCAAAGTTAATCGGCGATCCCCCACTTTCGCAAGATGAAGAAAACTCGGTGAAAAATAGGATTTGTCGTTTAGAAAGTTACAATAAAGGACAGATAAAGACGCCTATAAAATTTAAACAAGAGAAAAGGATAAGTGACATGGAAAAAACAGAAATTAAAGGTACTATAACCGAAAATTGGTCTAGTATTTGTGAAAGTAAAAAACAAAATATAGAAACAAAATCTGCCATTGAAAACTCGAAGACAGAGCTGCAAGACAAAATTCTAAGCGATAACCACAGTTTTGAAAAGAAGTTTTATTACGTTAATGAACATTTACAACATAATAAGATTGTAAATACTGGAAAATTTGGAGAAATGGTATTTGAGGAGTTTGAGGTATTGGAAAATTGCTACGACAGTTTAAACAGCAATAAATCTTATAAGTAAGCTTATTAGCGCTATGATTATTACTAAGCATTCGCTTTATTATATCAGAATGAAGTTGTGATCTGCTTTCTAAGATTACTATTTATTGCTTGTAAATTTAGTAGATGTACGTTACATTGTTATTCCTAACGTAATTTACTCGCTTTGTGTAATTAATAAAATAATTTTATGTTATAAGTATAAAATATACATTAATATATTTCAAACTATAAGTCCATTTCGGTGAAGGTTATAGCCTTATAACATAATTCAAAATAATAAATCGAATTATAAATAAATTAATGTCTTATAATTAATTTCTTACCGTCAAGTTTTTCTTCGATCTTTGTGGGTGATGACTTTGATCCATGAACGCAAACGCTTGTAAAGAAAGTGCGTCGAGTGGGCCGCCATCTCCAACACCACGATTCCTTTTAAAACAAATTATACCTATTTAGGTGATGTCTCCCTTGTATGAAAAAACTTAAGCGAATTACGACGTGTTCCATATTATGGTTTTAGGTAAGCTAAAAATTAAGCAAGACGGTATTTTACTTTAATCTTTCTAATTCTATCGCTGACGATGAGCATGAATATAGTTTTCTTTTTCTTTCAACATGATCGCCGTAGAACCCAACCCAGTCACGAATTTGCGACAGCAATAAATTAAGTTGGCATTACGTAGTTATTATGAATTCTTTCTCGTTTAAGTCAATGTAACTTTTAACTATAAAACTGATGGATCTGAATACTTAACGAAAAGGCGAGCAAAATTTTAATCACTTATGAGACATGTTCACTGTATCAATAGAGTGATTCATCATCAGACATTCAACTTGTGAATTAGTATTGGCATGAGTTCAACATTGACGCAGAGACTAATATTTTAATAAAACTCGATTTGACAGAGGCATCATATGTAATTTATAAATTATAATGTGTAATAAATTTTCAACGAAGGCATTGACCGCTAACTCTTCTAGGTTAAACTCAAAATGCAATATTGCTGTCATTGCACTTTGTGTTTCTATTCATAGTAACTGGATTTAAATTATAAAACTTTTATTATGTATAATAATATAACAAATAAGTAGCTTTGCATATAGTTAAACCAATTTTCATACAAAAACTTTGAAGTATTGTTGTAGTTGGTGGTGAATCGGTTCCTAAAACAGGAAAATAGTAACACAGGAGCCTTAAACCACCTATGCAAATAATACAAATGCAGAAATTTTCAGTCTTTTGGTATTCAGTGTAGAGTATTGATCAACACAATATCATACAAAATTCTTGTAATGGAGTAATTTTAGTGAACAATAATTTTGAATACATTTACCATGAAAACTGAAACTGTTTAGGAATTTACCAGATTTTCACCTAAAGTTATATTTAATGCATGAAATATTTTTTCATTACTTTATAAATATTGCTAATAATATTTAAATGATAATCCATTAACAGGCAAATCAGAATATATTTCTAGTTTCCACAGAATACTCTTGTTGTCTCTAACTAGACTACTTCTTATAGGATTTGTTACTTTAATACTCATTAGGAATTTAATCCAAAATATGTATGACAATTAAATTAAAACCAAAACATGATTGATAGCTTATCTAAATTAATGTTTTGTATTAAATTGACTAAAGCATATAGTATATATTTCAGTATTATATACGATATACACTTATTAATATTGTTAACATAAATCACCTTTATTACTAAAAATAAATAAATGTGTTAAATGTATTATAATCCAAATAATAAATATAGTTAAGTGTTAATAAATAATTTGGAGTCAGCTGATAATAATAAAAAATCTTCCTATGAATAAACAAATTATTAAAACTTTTTTATCAGTCAATACCAAACTAGAGAATTTCGCTTTTAAATTATTTTTCTTTTTTTTACTTTTGTCGCCTACTACTACTTTAATTTACTTTAAGATGATATTTGACATCAGTTAAAAATAAATTATTGTAGTTCACGTGCAACTAATAAACGTTTTAAAAATCAAATACCTGTATGAAAATGAACTAATTTACTACACAAAAAGCATGTGACACTTACTTTATTATCCAACAAATCCCTAAATATTGGTGATAAACACAAACCACGATTTATTTCTAATTTTGATAAGAGTCGGCACCTAGAAACACACACCGTCGACGCCATCTTTTACACTACATAAAAACATGACGTATCAACTATCATGTAGCCGATAGGCGGTAGCCGGTAGGTTAACCCTCGTACTTCGTTACTCCTATGGGTTTGTATTGTAGGGTACATTTTCGTATGTAATGCCTACCGTACAATATCAAAGATTTAAACATTTATTTTAAATATCATTATTGATGAAGAATGAATGAAATAAATATAGCAATATTTATTTTTTATGTTGTATGTTGTATGTAGTAGCTTTAAATATATTTTTTCACATAGTTAGACTTATTTATGGATAGTTTGTTTATATTATATTCTAATTAATTAAAGCTATTACTAGTTAATTACTTAATTGATACTTTATAGGCAAAGTTGAACTCAATCAGTGACCGTGGACACAGACTAGGAAGACAACCGTAAATTTAAATAACGCGCCTTTTGGTTAGTGCCATAGAGTACAACCCTAAAAATAGCTTAATATAATATAGATATTCGTACGTTTAACGTAGATATACAAATATAAATAGAATTACTTTTGAAATAATAATTTGTTTATCTTATGCGACAAAGTACATTTTTAATAAATGTAATTTATTGGTTGTTTGTTATAGTTTATAATTTGACTTAATCACAGACATATTCTGGTATCAGATAAGTTGAGAGATTATTTAAAATACCCTCTTGTAAAATATGACAGCATACAAACACTGTTAGTCTAATCTATTAAGTATGCCCGTAAAGTCAAGCCAATGAATTATGATAACAAAGATTCGATCTCTAAAGAATAGCAAATTAACATGCACTATTTGAACTAGTTGAACTTTCCAGCGAAACGGACATCTATCCATTTGAAAGTTACATTTTTAGAAACCGTTATGTACGAGGTCTATTAAACTATTATGTAGGAGGTATCTTATTAGTAATTTTTTTTAATTACTACTACGTGCAAAAATATACAAAACGCACGAGTTCCGATCGTAAATATAGGTTAAGGTAATATTTAAATGTTCATCACATTTAAATAGTTTATAAGGTTATAATCAACCACCACTTACTATCAATTGTTTAATAAACTAAATGAGCGGAAAACAGTAAAAATAAAAATAGGCTACTTGTTAGCCAATATCTCAAAATAACCTAGCATACTTATTACTTTATTAGAATGGCCCATTGTTCCCGAAATCTCTCAAACTTTCAAATCTAAAAACGTCGAAATTAAACAAAAATATAAGTAATCCAAACCCCTTACAAATTTAAGTTAGCTCCGTACATTATTGTAATTTTCAATTTTGTAATTCCTTGGGTCGCCCATATATGGTGCGTTCCACTAAGCGCTCACGACGATCAAAATGCTCCTTTAGCCATTCCACATACCGACCGCGGTCGTTGTGGTCACGGCGAAAACGTCACTCATGACGTCATGACTAATGCTCACGCAACGCTCACAACGACCCATCTAAAGAGGTGGGTCGTTGTGAACGTTGAGAATAATTTGGCGCAATTTTTGAATTTTTTTTTGAAATATGACAAATATTATATTCAAAGCTTAAAGATGGCGACAAGAAAAATCACATTATTTGATTCAGAAAGAGAAATTGTAAAGCCATTTCGATTATATTTAAACTTAAGTTGTTTGATAACTTCACCAAAATTATTTATAAAGTATTCAATTATTCTTCACTTTTAACATAAATAAATTTAAGTCACAAATATCAAAACTTATTGTTTATGATTACCTAACCTCCTTAAAATTCTACTATTTTCAAACTTGACATTTGTAATATTTACATGAACGCCCGATACGCTCCATAATCCATTCCACTTGAGTTAACGACAGTAACATTCACAATCAAGTGGAATGGGGAAATCAGCGGTTGTGAGCGTGATCGTCGTGAGCGCTTAGTGGAACGCACCACTAATCTAAACAAAAAAAAAGACCTTTGTGTCAAAAATATATTTTTGACATTGATTTACAACTGCTTAAACTTCAAAGACAAAGTTTGTTTTAATTTTTCGTTCCGGATGATATTGCTGTTTCGGCGTAAAAATTAAAACTAATTTGTAGGATATATTTTGTTGTAAGAACAATAAGATATAATGGCAGTTCCGGATTATAAACTAAGCACAGTCCTTTCCGGGCACTCCATGGACGTACGATGTGTTTCCGCAACTAAGGATTATTGCATATTATCGGCTTCACGGGATAGAACAGCTAAGCTGTGGCATCCAGAAGGGTAAGACTGGTTTCGTATACGTATACGGCTGCTTATTTTCATACAACTGATGGAAAATATATTTTTACAGCGTAAAAAGCTATGTCAATGTAGTAACTTACAAGGGGCACAATAATTTTGTTTCCTGTGTTTGCTGGCTTCCACCGTGTGAAGCGTTTCCTGAAGGATTGGTAATAACTGGAAGCAATGATAATACGATTCTAGGTTATAATCTACTAGATGGAGCAGTTCAGATTAATTTAAAGGGCCATGATAATGCTGTTTGCAGTGTCACACCTGGTCGAGATTCAGGAATTCTATTAAGGTATTTAGTTCATGCTATAATTATTTGTTTTGAAGTATTTTTTGATTTTTTACTTTTAATGTAAAAATTTCATGTGACAGTTCTAGTTGGGATAGTACTGGAAGAATATGGAACATAAATTCTCCTCAAATGGCTCCCATTGTGTTGAAGGGTCACCAAGCAGCAGTGTGGTCACTTGTGGAACTAGCTAATGGCACATATGCTACAGCATCAGCTGATAAAAGTATCAAGTTATGGAGGAAGGATGGTGGCTTATTAAGCACATTAACAGGTGATATATTACAAATATCAAAATAAATACTACTTCTTATTAATACTAA